TATTCTTTATAATTTTGGTCATTTACATGATTTCTCTAAAATGTACCTTAAAAAAGAAATTTGGGGAAAAATATTGAGTACGGCTCATCTAAGCAAAAAGTGTTTAGAACATGAATTACAGATAAAAATTCTTCAAAACATTATGCCAACATTTTATCAACGAAATTGCAACTTTTTACTCGGATCTTTTTATCATAATAATATAGTCTAAAGGTGCGTTTAGTCAGCCTGATTTAGTTTTAAGCATTAACATAGACATTAACATAAAAGTTAATTTCAATACATTTCAGTGTACCTGTTTATACAGAATAACATAAGCATAAACATTAACATAAATTTAGTGAAGATAAATAAAATCCAACTTAATGCTTAAATTTATGTCGAAAATACAATTGCGCATGTGCGTTCAAAAAGTGAGGTTAAGCTACTTTTAACTTTTGAACTTCTAAACTCTTTTTATGCACTTTTATTAATAGTAATTGTGAGATAGTTAGCAGAGCAATTTCATAAGCAGCTCCCATACGCCTTTTTTCCATTTTGTATGATTTGTCAAATCTTATGTTAATGCTTAAATTTTCTGTATAAACGGTTTTGTTTTAAAATCCTTAAATTAATGTTTATGTTAATGTCTATGTTAGTGCTTAAAACAAAATCAGGCTGACTAAACGCACCTTAAGATTCGGGGGCTGATCTATTTTTTGAACAAACTTAATTTTAATGAATGATTGATAACACTGGTCTACAGTGGTTTTGTTGCCCTAGATATGAAAATGATTTTGGGTCTATTTATGCACACAATTCATGAAACTATCAATGATTTTGTAAGATTTGCTCTCATTTTTTTTTAAATCTTTATTTTCATTTTATATTACAAAAATAGAAAAACAAAATACAAATTAACAGATATATTTATAATGTTAGTTCTGTTGTGAGAAATTAGGATACATCGAAGTAAATAAAGAGGAAAATATCGGAAATATGTTTTATATTTCCATAAAACGCCTTTTATGAGCTTTTCTCTTATAATTTTTCAGTGGACAATCTCTTTTCAAAGACCAGCAGTAATCTGCCATCATGTGACAATCCCATCGACCCTGATACCTTTCCTCCATCACTTTTAGATCTTGGTGAAACCGCTCTCCCTGTTCCTTACTATAATTCCCTAAATTATCTGGAAATTTATCCAGATGATTGCGAAGATAGTGTAACTTAACACTCATATTTGCTCCTAAAGTCTGAAAGTTTGTCAGCATATCTTGCACAATTTCTTCATAATTTGTTGCTTTATGGTTACCTAAGAAATTTTCGACTACCAACACGTAACTTTTCCAAGCTTTACTTTCCGGAACAGTCATAACTTTGATAAAATCTGAGTCTTTTATTAATTGCCGTATTTGAGGACCATCAAATATTCCACCTTTCAATTTTTCCATACAAAGCTTCGGAAATTTTCTGCAAATATAATTAAAACAATCTCCATCCTTGTTTAGAGCTTTTACAAACTGCTTTATCATACCTAACTTAATATGCAATGGTGGAAGTATGATTTTGTCTCTGCTCACCAGTGGCTCCCTTATTACATTGGCTTTACCGACAGTTAAAGAATTTCTTACAGGCCAAACATCTTGTTCCCAGTGAAGTTGCTTCGCTCTACTGTCCCATATACAAATAAAGCAAGGGTATTTTGTGTATCCACTTTGTTGGCCTAGTAAAAAATTAACCATTTTTAAATCCACACAGATCGGCCATTCATGCTCCGAATATTTAATTTTCTCTAAAACTAATTTTACATTTTCATATTCTTCTTTAAGTTTCGTTGAATGGGCAATTGGAATTGATGCAAACTTATTTCCATTGTGCAATAAGACACATTTTAAACTTCTTTTGCAACTGTCAATGAAAAGGCGCCATTCAGTCGATTTGTATTCCTTTAAACCCATGTCTAAAAGCAGATTCGCGATATCATTACAATACACCAATCCCTGATCGTCACTAAAAAACTGTAATAACTCTTTTTCTCGCGTTCTGTATGTTGTAATTGTTACGGTTGGTGCTAATAGATTTTTTTCTTTCAATCTTGAAGCTAACAGTTCTGATCCTTGTTTTGATAAATTGAGATCACGTATTATATCATTAAGTTCATTTTGAGAAAATAACTTTGGCGTAGATGTTTCACCCTCCCATTCACTTCCACTGCTAGACGGTCCCGATTTCTGTGAATTTGGCAACATCATTGTTTCTGAGGGCATGCGAATTACTTTTGAAACGTAAATAGGCCGAGGGAGATTTTCACTGTGTGGAACCGGACATTTCGTAGACTGTAAGTCTGGGTATTTCCACTTTTGATTTCGATTGAAACCTTTAACATCTACTACACAAAAGTAACAATCATCAAAATGATTCGTAGGCTCCATACAGATCATAGGAATACCAAAGTCTAATCCAGAACGTTCTCCTTTTTTCCACAACCGTAAAGACTCAACACAGCATTTACAAACTTTATTAGGAACCCATGGTTTACCTAATTTGTCCATTCCAAAACCGAAATATTCAACATAACTCTCCTTGACAAAGTCTGTGATATTTCGTTTTTGTTTTTTTGATATATAAACACCGCAAATATAACAAAATAAATCACTACAATATTTACACTTTCTCCGTGACGAACTCATATTTTAGAAGACAAGACGAATATATCAGAATGGACATACAGTAATTGAAACAAAATATTAATCCATGACAACTTAACCAGATTCACGTGTAAGTACTTCAATATTGTCATATAACTGAGATTTCAGCTATTCTGTGGAGCAAGGCGTCTGAGAGGTGGGATCACGTGATGTTTGTATGCGCTAAAAAGTTGCGCAGAAGCCTTAATCATGACTGAAGAACTTAATTTTATTTCTAAGAAGCCGATAATTGTTTAACACATAAGACATGCAAAAATCATAAAAATACGAGCACATTGAGAACTTTCATGAATATATTCGAAATCTGGACACTTGAAAACATAAAAATTCGCGATGATATGCAGGGCAAAAAAAAAAAATTTTTTTTTGTAGAGCTGTGTAATATAATACATTGCCGTCGGGTTGCCTATCAACATTTATCCGCAATTACCGTTAATTAATTAAATTGCAATTAATTTATTTTAGTAAATTTCAGCAATATGTTTTTGAATGAATTAAACGTCATTTGAAAGAAAATGATAAGAAAAATTTTTGCTGAACACGATACGATATGGTTACATGTAAAAAAATGGTCACAAATTGTGGTTGCCAGTATTTGAATTAAATACTATTGTTCTAAATGAGAATGAGCGCTGCTTCGTGTGGTAGACAAGGACGCAGCGTAACACATGTTACTGCTATACAGTGTTGCCATTGATTGGAAAATTTCCCTAAATCTGAGGATAATCTGCAATCAGTATGGAAAACGGGAAATTTTCTATAATTCAGGGAATATTTAAAATTTAATTTTGTGATATTTGTAAAAATGTACTTAGCTACTATGTCTGTATCAATTTTGAAATTAAAACATTTGCTGGGTTTTATTTAAGTTTTAGTATATAGAATACAATACTGCCGTCATAAGAAAAAATTTTTTTCCAAAATTGAGTTATTTATTTCCTATGTTTTAAAATAGCTTTCTGAACATGTTGACGAAGAAAAAATCGCGTATATTGCTGTGGAAATAATAAATTCGCTTTGTTATTTTCACGTATTTGCACCCCATTGAATAGTCGTACTAAATATAAACCACGTATTTACTAAATACTAAGAAATATCCGCGTAAAATCGAAGAACATACTTAGTGTTTACTTAGTAGGCGCGTGTTTACGTGGCCGTTGCTTAGCATTCAGAAATCGTTATTGCCCCAACTGATTGTTTTGAAATATATTTAATTTTCATTAGGCGGAGAACTTGTTTTCCTAAGGGAAAAACGAATACCGGGATTCCTTTCCAGTGTGTACCCCACTGCCGCTAGTGCCCACGAGCCGCCACTGTAAGAGGGTGCAAATTTCAAAAAATTAAAGTTTAAAAATTCCATGAATTGCAGGTTGTCCCCAGATTTAGGGAAATTTCCCTATCAATGGCAACACTGTATAGCAGTAACATGTATAACGCTTCATTCCTGTCTACAACACGAAGCAGTGCGCGCATTCCTCATCTGTCGCTCACTCTCATTTAGAGCAAGAGTAATTAATTTAAATACTGGCGACCACTATTTGCGGCCATTTTAATACAGGCATCCGTAAACTATCGTGTTCAGCAAATATTAAATTAAAATTTGGTATTTATTTTAATAATTAACAGTAACATAACTGTTCACACCTGGCAACCTAGTGGCTGCGAATGATTGAGAGCTGGCAACCATTTTTTGTTACATCAATTTATTTCGAATGGCGTTTAATTCATTCAAAAACATATTGCTGGAATTTACTAAAATAATTAACGGTAATTGAGGCAAAATTTTGATAGGCAAATCGACGGTAATATTGTTAGCATTCATTCATTTAAATTAAGTTTCATTAAAAAACAGATCATCGCAGAAGTCAGATCCCGGATCTTGTACTAATAGGAGAGCGAGGAGGTATGAAAATTAATTTTGCTTTATACAGTAACTTGACTAAGAATCTTATTTTTCAGCCATTTTTAAAATACCTCGTCGCACTTCTATTAATTGTCCTGATACCACAATTTTATCAACTAAATTACAACTTTTGATTCTCTCAGAATAATAGAAGAGCGATCTTTATGAAATTTGGCACAGCGTTAACAGTAAACTATTTAAAATGTTTGGCTAGTGTCTGCTTCTCTTTGCCTTGGATGCTTTTTAGAAATGAGCCTCAACTTTTAAACTAGTTTTGCTAGGGAACAGAGTATTTTTTTATGATCTATACCTATGTGTACCCCAATTTTTTCTAAATTTAAATTTTTCAAAAATGAGCAAATGTTATAGACTTAAAAGTTTGGAATCCTAATAAAACAAAAAACAAAACCATTATTATATTTATTTGTATACGCCACATACAGGTAGGTACATATATAATATATATATAAAATTAAAGTAAAGAATAAAGCAGGATCAAAAATATGAAAATTGTATTTTCCTTATTTTAGAGTTAAATTTAACTTAGTTTTCCAACAAGAGCTTCCAACAATCTGGCTTTAGCTTTAACTTTTTTGTACGCTACGTAAACACTTTCCATAGGAACCTTATCCTCCCTTTGTATCATCTTTCCCGTTTTCAGTTGCACGTCGAACTCAAACTGCTTTATCGTCCTTTTCAATTCCTTCTTTTCCTCTGTTACCGACTTTAATTGCTCGATCAGCTCCGCTCTTTCCATGGAATGTAGATTGTCACCTATAGAACTGTCAGTGTCACTTTCGGTACTAGTTGAAGCTAATACTGTTGTTTTTTCAGATTCCGTGTCATTTGATTGCGATGACGACGTTGGAGTTACGAAGTTCATGGCTTCGTCTTCGTGGATTGTAGCTAGCTCATTGCCGATTAAATTTATCTGAAAATTAAAAATTATTTATCAGCATTAGTCGAAGGCCGAATTACGTAATTTTAATTTGGGTTTAAAGAGCAAATAAATCTCCATTCTGGTACCAAACTGCCGGTTTCTAATGTTCAAACAATAAAATAGCTTCTGACAGTGTGTGGCATAAAAGTATCCTTTTTAAATTATAACTTCTTATCAAAATATTCCTTAAAAACATAACTCAAAATGTTAAAATAAATAATCACACATCATCAAGTTTCATTGCAAATCAAGATATACCGCAAGGGTCGCCACTCTATCCGCTCCTATACAACATATGAGTCGTCTAGAATAAAAATCCGCCATCTAACATTTTTAGTGATTTTCATTTTCCTGTGGTTTTCAATAGCACTTTTTCCCGCCATTCGAATGGTGTATATAGTTTAATTCAAACTCCGCCATTTAACGTATAAATTGCTGTGAGTTTTAAAAACCGCTATAATCCCGATAAATCAGATTCAAAACCCGACCAACCAGATGTGTCTATTTTAGTCACGTATCTGATATTTTTACGTGCTTCTTTTTCATGTTATTATAATTGTCGAGTCAATGAGAATAAGATCGCTGTTGGTTTTTTATTAATGTGTGGTGATAAATAGAGTGAATTATGAGTGATTGTGCAAAAACAATTGAACCTGCAACACCAGAAAATTCGAGGAAGAGACCCAGGCAGCCGGCTAAGTGAATATGTATTATTAAAAAGAAATCAAGGTAAGAATTTTGTTGTTAAGGTTGTAGTGGTTAATTCTTTATTAATATGCCACGTGTTGATAATGAATGGTAATTATTGTGTAAAGAAATATTCTGTAATTGTTACAGATATTCTGCTTCTCAGTTACCACAATACCCTGATTGTAATCATGACAAGAAATTGATGCAATGTAAACAACTCACAATGGCAGATATTCTCCACTTCCATAAAGCATTCTACCAATCACATAACAAGATTGAACAAGATAACTTTAAATTTTGTTCGGTCTACAAACCTAAACGCCTTAATCCAAATCTGAATGAATCAAGGAAAACCTTGACATTTAAATACTACATCAGTAAGAAAAATGATGGTGTAATGATACCAGTATGTAGACAGGCCTTCTTAAAAGTACTTGGAATTAAAAGAGATAGGGTGCAAGGAGTACTAGCGCAACATTTTCACACAGATCCCAGCTAGCACATAACGTTGCCAAGACTTTCGGCGATGTTGCATTAAGGGAACGTAATAACATTACCATACAACGTAAATGCAACGTTCATGAGAAGTTGTTGAGGGAAATCAAAACCTCGCAAAACTTCTATTTGTTATTTACGTAGTTAACCTACCTGTTATGATAAGACAACGTAATAAAGTAATTTGCTAAAAAAAAACGAACTGTCAATTGTCACTTGCCAATTTTTCTTGTTATATGTCATGTTTGTTTTTTTTTAATTTGCAGAATTTCTTTTATAATTCTTATTAAAAACATTTGAGTAGAAGTGGTAAGGATCCTCTATAAAATAGAAAACTATTTTCTGAACCATTTTCTTCGTTTTAGATTACAATGCCTGTTGTAAATTTTATCAAAATGTCCGGGAATATTTGGATCATATTTTGTCGACAGAATGACCTGGAGCTGGTTTATAAAATTATAAAATGAGGACCTCTAAATACTTGAAATACCTTATGAAAGAGATATACAAAATTAATTTGCCACGTTACTGGCCTCTTTAAGGATGTAAGTGGTGGCTGTAATTCCTTTTTCCCTAGTTGGCTCTTAAAATTTCATGATTCGTAGAGTGAAGCGATTAATAAAAGTATATCTAACTGTGATTTGATATAATATCTCTTTTAGCTTATGCACAATTTACCCTGTGGTTTATAATCCCCTACAAATGGTTATTAAAGCTGTTAATGTGTTGATGGTATTAATGATACGATACAATTTATCTTATGGTCCTCCTTTTAGTACTAGAAGGTGCACAGGTGAGTTTACATGTTTAATTTTTCAAGTTTATCTGGTATAGTTTATATTTATTTTAGGAATTAATCAAAACGAGCCACTACTTCCAAATCTGGAGAAATACTTGTGGCTGAGAAGTTATAAATCTTACTGCAATCAAACTGGTGATCGTTCAGGATGCGGTAATAACTATTAAGCAAATTTTGTCCAATTGTTCAGTGCTTTATAGGTGGCTTCTACTATCGTACATGTGTAACTGCATTTTTGATATACCTACACTTTTGTGATATTACTACTTACTACTTGATTTCAAGAACATTTTAATAATAAATTTATATAAATATTTTGTTTTATTTGAAATTTCCATGTCTCGATTGAGTTTTTACTATACCTCAATTTCAGCCTCTCTGTATTACATTACACAAAAAACAATATAGTGTGTCCATGGATGGACTTAATTATACTTGTAAAAATATTTATTTTAAATTAAAAAAAGTTATTTTTCATAATTTCTTAATGTGAAACAAATTTATTTTACAAGTAAAAGAAATTATGAATAATTACTTTTTTAATTTAAAATAAATATTTTCATAAGTATAGTTAAGTCCATCAGTGGACACACTGTATAATGCTGTAGAACTAATTCACATTATAACATATATAGAAAGTTTCAGAGCAACTTTCAGGGTAAGTACCGTAAAAGTGCTAGTGTGATGTTTTCCGAACTTCACTTTTATAACTTCTGTGAGATGTGCTATAAAAGTCTTGCCGTTGCCGACATTCGGTGGTTGCAGGGATATTAGGGTTACATTAAAAGTACATCGCATGTGAGCTTAAAGAGCCTAAAATTGCAGCTTATTAACGTAGATGGGATGTTTTTGTGCTAGCTGGGATGGACAGACTGCAAAAGAAAACAGAGGCGGTGATCATAAAAGCCATAAGAATAACGAGCGGAAAAGGAAGGTTCAAGCATTCATTTAACCCTTTAAATGTAGAGGAAAAACAGTTTCGCGTGTCTATCTGCCTGCGGAGTTAAACATTAAAAAAATGTTTAGAATGCTACAATATCGGTTTGGGTAGCCCTAGAACCGATGTGTATTCAAAATGTTTAGAATTTTCCGAAAGATATAAGAAAGAAAATAAAAAAGAAGAAAAGCAAAAAATAATGACAGAGAAGAAGATACACAACCTTAAGGCTGCAGCATTTTTTGAAATTTTAAGGACAAAGGAGGAAGGAACACTGACAATGTCTTTTAACTGCCAGAAAAATATGGCATTACCTAAGATGCCTCACTCCAGTGCATATTTTTCATCACAGCTTAATTTTTATAACTTTCCTATTGTGGTAGGATCTTCAACAGATAAATTGCAGAAACAAAACGTTCATTGTTACTACTTGAATGAATCGCAGCTTCCAAAAGGGAGTAATGAAATTGCTAGTGCTATTTACCACAAGTTATGCAATACAAATATGGAAAACTTTTCTACCCTTTGACTCATTGCCGATGGGTGTGGTGGTCAAAATAAAAACACCACACTCATCAAAAAGCTAATAAAATGATTTTTCTCAATTAACAAGCATATTGAATCTGTATAAATAATTTTTCCTATAGTGGGACATTCTTTCATGCCTTCCGATAGTTTTTGCCCAGATTAAAAAAAAAAAATACGCAAGAAAGAGGTGATAGTACAACCTGAAGAGTATGTGAACTTTATTAAGGAAAACTTCACTGCGTGGAACTTAGCAGACCCTCATCAGACAATCACTGTATACGACTGGCGTGAAGAAACCAAAAAGTATATGAAACCACCTGGATCTTGGCATTTCCAGTTTAATCCTTCAAAAAGAATTTTCATGAAGAAGACCAAAAATGGTGTCAGTGTCCAAGGCGAAGTTAATTATAAAAGTGAATGTGGTATTCCGCGGACTGTCAACAAAAAAGGGAGTAGTACTCCTAACTCTATTAACCCTCAATATTAACTGTGGCTAAACAAATTAATGACAAAAAGTTAAAGTATCGATGGACTACTGAAGAAGCACCTCAACTTCTACAAAAATTTTATTCAATTCCAGAAGATGATTTTCCATGTGAATATGCTGAAGAAATCTATTTTAGAGGTTTAAAAAATTAATGTTAAAGCAATGTTTTATGTTTTTATTCAATAAATATTATCTTGTAGATGACATATCTACTCGAATTTTATTTCCAAACACAAAGTTGAAATCAAAACCCGCTATTTTTTTTTTCGTTTTTATGATTACAACATGTACTTATTGCATATCTATTAGTTCTGGTAAAAAAAGTCTAAAATTAATCCTAACAATTTGACGCCACAGTTTTTGCGATTCCTGAAAAGTTATCCGAAATGCCAATAGCGGGTTTTGATTCTAGACGACTCATATATTGTTTCGATTTTCCCTCAGTTCAGATACATCTTAACGCAGTAAATTATATATTCCAATACACAGATGATACGACTCTGATATCTCATAGAAGTACACAAAATCTATACAAAGAAGTTGCTTAATGGTTCAACAAATGAAGATTACAATTTAATCCACAAAAATGTCAGTTAATGATACCCTACCATGGATTAAGATTGATATCCCCTATACTCATGATATCTAAGCAACCAATTCGTACCATATCTTTAGTGAAATATTTAGGCCTTATTCTTGATAAGCTGAACTTCAATAAACACAAATGCAAGCAAAAATTAAAATCAAAGCCAGAGCTAGTCAAACATTTCCGTTCCTTAACATATAAAAAAATAAGCATTTCACCTACACGGCAACTAAAAAAACAAGATTCAATATAGCATGAAAAGAAACAGAAAGCTGTCAAAAACATTTTGGAAGAAACGACAATCAAAAAATGTTAACAAGTATTTTTTCGATTTAAGGTAAAATAAGTTTTAAATACACAGTGAGAATAATAACAGAAATCTTGAGAATGAAATTGTCGATGAATAATGAGTTAATTAGTGAAATATTAATTTTTGTTTATTTATTTCAAGAGAATTTTAATGATTCTATTCATTTTACACATTGAAATGATTAATTTTTGTCCACTTTTAGAAATAAAGTACCTATGAATATATTTAACTATCTGAAATGTTCTAAAACATAGTAGTTATTTTAGAAGAGAAAGAATTAGTTATTGAATATAATTTATGACGCATACTTATTATATGATGTATTTGGAAATCATTATTACATTGTATGCAGTTAAAGAGAATATAAATAAAAATAATTAGGTACTAACTGTTGTTAATTTAGCCACCATCCTCTTCAAAGTGCGATATCTATCATAAAACGGTCTGACAACATCACGATCTTCTTTGGTATTGGGTCGTCCGTGAATAGATTCCAAAAAAAGTAACGCCCTTTGGACTGCTACTTTTTCTTCTACTAATTGCTCAGAAGACATTTCTTCTATATTTACTGTTCGGTTAGCAGCTTCTCGTTTGGCTGATAATTTCTAAAAAAAAAAAATAAACAATAATTATTAGTATCCCGCAAACTAGAACAACTTCAAAGAACAACATGTCTCAATATAACAGGAGCCATGAAAACAACACCGACGAGAGCTATGAAAATCATTATTAGTCTCACCCCCCCCTTGATAATTATATCAAGGACGTTGATCTGATGACAATGACAGGCCTCGGCACGGTTGGAATAGAACCTGATGTAGGATCTGGTGAGGCGAGACGTCGCTTTTGGCAGTAGGCGCTCGGTATGTTCCCACTGCTTTAAGCGAACATGGACTCCATCTCACCGAGATATATCTTCCATAAGCCATATAAAGTTATAACAGAATAAATAGAAGAGCCAAAAGTGGCAAGTACAATTTATATCTACACCGACGGTTCTAAAATAAAACAAGGCCCAGGATGTGGAATATAAATATTAAAACAAAAAATGGGCTGTGAGCAATAGTGCCAGTGTAGTTCTCATAGCAGCAAAAGAAATCACCAGAAACAATACCACTGGGAGGAACATGTTCATTTATACAGATAGCAGACAAGCACTACTCACCCTGAACAGACCACGAATTTACTCTGGGTTAGTACTATAGTGTCACGAAGCTTTGGCCGAAGTATCCATCAACAATATACCCACCTTAAGATGGATCAAAGGTCATGCCACATCGAAAGGTAACCGTCTTGCTGATTTACTGACCAAGAAAGCAACCAACCAAATACTTTTTGGACCTGGCTCTATTGACCTAACAAAATCGGTAGTGACAGAGCTAATTAAAGAACATTCCTTTGTGAAATTTAAAGAAAGATGGGATGAAACGAAACTGTAGAGTTGCCAGGAAGCTTTTAAGTTATCCTGACAACACTACAGCAAACAAATACTAGACTATGACTAGACATGACTGCGCTTGGTCACGGGCATTCTGACTGGTCATTGCCGAGTACGGAAGTATCTCCATATCATGGCGCTATCAGAATCCGTACTCTACAGGGGGTGCGAACAAAAATATGAGGCCATTGAGCATATCCTCTACGATTACCCGACGCTCTCATTTATTAGAAGATTTGTGCTCGGTGAGTATCGGATAACACCGGCCGATATAAGAGAAGCACCTTTTAGCGACGTTGTCAACTACATTAAATCTGTATGCTGGCTAACGAGCTAGAAGGTGCCTATCATCTTAGGAGGATGCGCAATAGGCCTAGTAGAGGCCTAAGTGCCATGGAGTAACCCACCCTCCACACGTTACAGATACAGAGATACTATGCTGTTTTAAAATAACGTTATGAAGATCATGTATAAATACACAAGTTCCATTTGTTCATATTTAACAAACATATTGTTAAAAAATGTACTACCAAGGTTTTTTATTTATTTATTTAATTAAGAACAAACTGGTCTTTTTTGCTTATTTACGCGTTTTCTCTTTGGATGATTATGATTTTATTTGAAAACAAGTATTAGAAATTAAAAATTTAAAAAAACCGACTTCAAAAACGTGCAAATGCCATCACCACATCTTAACAAAATTTATATGGGACCACCCCTGAGGTGCCCCCTTACTAACAAAAAAAGAATCATATAAATCAGACAAGGTGGTAAAGCATTATCGCCTAAACATACATAAAAATGAAGAGTTTGAGGATTTTCTCATGGGCCCAATTATTAGATTCTGACAAAATTTATATGAGACCACCCCTGAAGTACTCACTTTCTAACAAAAATCGAATCATTGAAATCGGACACCGTCTTAAAGAATTATCGCTGAACATACATAAAAAAAAAATTAAAAAAAAAAATATTGCGACGAATTGAGAACCTCATCTTTTTTTTGTCGGTTAAAAATAATGAGCGTCAATGATACAGTCTGTCCAAAATTGATATTACAAAAGCTGGACTTAAAGTATGGAAGTCCCTATTATTATACAAAATATGAGCAATATTGATGATTCCCATACTGATAAATTAAATATTATTATTAGTTTATTGGAGAACATGAAAAAAAAAAATCAAGAAATAATGATGGAACAACTAGAAAAGAGCGAATAATATAGAAAACCTACTCTTTTGTCGATAAAAGATAATTAAACATTTAACAATAATTTGCATCTTAATTGTTTGGCAGACATATCAGAATTTAAAAACCTTTAGACCGGGCTGATAAGTACAGAATATAAAATGATATAAAGTAAAAGTTCTTACCTTCTCTATCTCATTTATGGTTACTTGTAAACTAACTACATTTATTCGATCTAAATTATCTTCTGTATTTATTAAACAACTACCATTTGCTAATTCGGCTATTTGTCTTTGGTCTCTTTTCAGTGCACTAAGATCGGCATGTAACTTTTTAATATTCTTATCGTTCATTTTTTCAGCGTGCGATGGGCGATAGCCGTGTTGAGTTTCAAATTCGGCCTCAAACTTTTTAATTTTCTTCTTAATACTATTTATTTGCTTTGCGATCTTATACAACCTCTCATCTATAGGATTTTGGGGTTTCTTTTCGATATTACTAGTGACTTTCGGAACATCAGGATCAAGATAGATCCTATGCGTAGCTATAATGGAATTTCTAGGGGAAGACAAGAGTCGATTTGAAGCGACAATGGGTATAGTCTCTGTAGTTTCGTTTCTATGTCTAGAAGTTTGAGATAAAAGTGGTTCTGAGCAATCAACTTGTTCGTGCAGAGTGGACCAATCGACGACAGGGGATACAAGCTCTTGGGTCGGACTCGGGGATCTTCCTCTTTCATCGATGTGTAACTGAAGAAATCCAGTTCCGGTGTCCTCATTTTCAGTGATCTGTGTGCCCTGAGCTAGATTCAGTTTTTTGTAATAGTCTCTAGTTTCATTTGGTGCTTCAGGTTTGTGTTTTATTCTCGATAAACATTTTACCTTGAGACGTTTAGTGGGATGCTTTTTTCCTTTAAGCGTCAAAGGTCTTGCAAATCTTTCGTGAGACCTAGAAGAAAACATTTACATTAATAATGTGTCTCAAGTGGTTCATTTAGAAAAGAGCTATATTATTTTAAAATAAAACTACTGTACGTATGGAAGTAATAGGGATATATTAGGGAAGTATCTGATAACAAAATAATTGCAGGGACGTTTACTGATTGTTTTAGTTCAATCTATAATATTATACCCAGACAACACACCAAATCCCAGAAATATCCACAGCATATCTTTTGTGAATATCCAATATATATCTACAGGATATCAGAAATATCCCGTGGATCTAATATGGATATCCAAATGTCCATCTATATCCAGAATATCGATTATATCTTATGGATATCCAGCAAAATATCTAATGGGTATCTTACAGACAATACAAGAAATCTCAGAGATATCCACTAAATATATTTTCTGGATATCCAATATATCCAGTTGATCTAATATGGATATCCAAATGTCCGTCTATATCCCAGGATATAGAAGATATTCGGATATTCAGCAAAATATTTTATGGGTATCTTTAGTAGAGATTCATAAGTAACCAATGATTATTGAATAACGTCGAAAGAAAATAGCACTCAAAATATTTTCAACACTCTGCCTTTGATTTTGCCCACTAAGGAGAAAAATCATCCTTATTAGGACTCTTCAGCAATAAATGGAAATTCTCGACTCCAGTCTCTAATAGAGTCTGATTGCGAAACCAATTTCGATCGAACTCAATTACGGCGGGTTGAGCAGGAGTAGATATTCAACGAGCGAAAGTGGTATCGCCATCTATACTTAGTAAGCAAAATCAAAAATTACATCTAGTGGATATCCACCATGGTTTGCATTCGCGCCTAGACTTTCAGTGGATATTGGGATGTCCAGTAGATATCCAAAGGATTTGGTGTGGTGTCTGGGTAGATGTTAACGGTTTGACTAACAGATGCAATTACATTTTTTATCAAAATATACTTTGATCAAGTATGTGTTAATAACAGGTCCTGATAACATTCATTGGTATATCTTAATGGTTATTTAACGAACAAGTGTGTTAATCGCCATTTTAATTCACGAGTTCGTTACAGAACTTTTCCGCCGACCGTACTTTTCAAAAATAAAGATATCTTACTTTCAATTTTTATTTATTTAACGAAAAACAACAATTACTATGTTTTCTCGTATAATAGTTTGCTTTTATCAGGCAATAAACGATATTGCATTCGCAGTTTCTGCCACTTCTGGTGGAGTTAAATTAAACTCTTCGTCAATATCCATCTTTTGATATTAAACTATACACAGTTTGAATTTTAAGAAATTATATAATGTACATACAATGACAGATAGTATTAACACACCTTTTTGATTTCAAATGTATATGTATGTTTGGTTGCCTACACCATAGGTAATTGTTAATATAAATGTATAATAAGACATAAGACCAATATATGTTGGGTTTCATTAAATAAAATCGTTGATTAATAGAAAATCATTCATTAATAGGTGTTTATTGTACGCGATGTGCACACTTTTTGCACGAGTTGCATACAATATTTTTTCTACGTTCATGCAAAAACCAAAAAATGTTTTATAGAACTGCAGTTGTATTATCCAAATCATAGTAGCCGTGATCGTGTACCTTTGTTTGAGGCATTTATTTTCGTTTGTGTTCATGATTTGTAATGACATTTTTAATAAAATACATTTTTTTATTAATTTATTTATTAAATGATTGAAAACAATATAAAATATGCAATTGTTTTTAAAACGTAACACAGAAAATTAAAATGCACTAAATATTTGGCGTTGATTTGAATATTTATGTTTTCATGATCATAAAACGCTGTAGTAAAATGACAGATGAGTGAAATAAAATTTTTATTGCACTGTAGTGCAATAAAGAACCAGTTTTTTCACTAAATATAGTTCAATAAAGTTTTGTTTTTTGCATGAACGTAGAAAAAATACATCATAATTGGTCGGTCGACGGAAATAGTATATTATGCAACTATCATGTAATGATCGATAGCCATTAATACACAAGCATGTTGTAGGATACGAAACGAGCTGCAAGCGAGTTTCGAATATAACATGTGAGTGTATTAATGGCCATTACATGAGAGTTGCATACGCTATTTTTTCTACTCCCATTAATAAATTATTAAAACATTTTCTGAAAACACCGATATATTTTTGGTGTTTCTCTAATCCATAAATTGTCTATATAATTTTTCATAGGTTTTGTTGGTCTTGTCAGGTAGCATATTTTTAACTGCATTTGTTGCTCTTTCTTTAATTTAATTTCTGGAGGCGTTACTAAAATTCTTCGTTATCACTCATTATTTCTATAATAACTCGATCAAAATGTAGGTAAAGGTATTAAATTTTAAACAATTTAAAATATTTTGATAGATGTCAAAATAATTGCCAAAAAATAATTCGATCCTATTGGCTGAAAAATTTGTAATGTCAAAATAACTGCCTACTTCACTAAATATAATTTGATTCTATTGGCTGAAACATCTGTATCATAATGAAAGTCTGTATTATAATGAGGTTCATTATGAATCTGGTTTCAATTTTTTAACTTGCATATTATAAGATAAGCAGAAAAAGCTTGTAAATACTATTTAATATACTTTTTGGTGGGAATCTGTATAATCTGCAAAATACATCCATATTCCCTAGTAAATTTAAGAGAACGAGATTGTCACGATTTTTTAAAAACGTACTGGCTAGCCGACCGCCGGCGGTAGTTGAATTTAATAAAACGAAAACCGTCTTCCGGCGGCATGGTCTTCTCACATATAAGAAAGCCGCCGAAAATCTAAACTGATTTGTTTATGAGGGCGGCAGTCTATCAGAGTATTGATAAGGCTGCTGGACGACGGTCTACTGTATTTGAAACATTAAATGCCGCCGGAAAAAACTCGCGCATCGGGGACAACACTAATAATTTGTAATTGTTGTGGTGAAAGGTGTTTGTGTCAATGCGTCTTGTTTGTTTTCATTTACGCCGTGACTAGCAGTAGTATTTTATAAACCTTAGAAGCAAATTTCACATACATGAACAAATAATAATAATGCCGTGACAACAAGAAGACAAAGTAACGACTTCTCTGTAGCTTTTTTATTGTTCACTATTTTGGCAAACTGTGAAAACATTTTTTAAGTAACTTTTCAGTTCTGCAATTGTTTTTTAACACGACGTTTCAGTTATTTTATACCATCATCAGGTTAATTTTTTTTATGGGTGCTACATTGTATTTTATACTTCAAAGATAGCTATTGATGACAGCTTTACAACGATGTATCACTTATTGGTAAATAAAAGAAATTGATTTAAAAAACAAGAAAATTTATTTTTGCAACACTTAGTAATACTTATATCACATGTTGGCTGTTTTTATTAATACATTTTTGACACTTTTTCAACACAGTATTGGTTGTCATTTATGCATACAACACATACCTCACTCTCTCTTCTAATTCTTGTATGATTTCAGGAAGTCGAAACTCATAGACTTCATTTTTACATATCTTCATAAATAAATATCTAGGTGGGTTATAAAGGGGGATCTGGCAAGCCAGTTAACTGGTCCATTTGAAATTTTTTTATTATCAAATGTCTGTCTTAAGAGAGTTTGAACTGCCCGAACATTATGTGCGGGATATCCGTCTTATTGAAACTAAATATTATTTAGTTGATTTTGAGGAACTCTTGCTATAATTGCCGGTAAAATTTGACCTTCTAACAGCTCCAAGTATCTTTGGCCATAGGGTACTAGATTTTTTTTTTTTTTTCATAGATTTATTGTAGAATCCTGGCTAGAAATAATGCAGACAGTGGTGTATAAGTATTACAAAATGTAATTTTTTTAATTGTTATTAAGTTTGGAGAGTTCTAGTGCTGTGTCGAAAATTAATTTTCTTGATTTTTTAAGCCAATTTCATTTATTTGCTAATAAGTGATACATTGCTATAAAGCTGATATCAATATCTACCTTTTAAGTACAAAATACAATATAGTTTCCATAAGAAAAAATGAACCTATGATGGTTCTAAAATAACTGAAACGTCGTGTTTAAAATCCAATTGCTGAACTGAAATAAAAATAATACATAAAAAGTTACTCAAAAATGTTTTCACAGATTGCCAAAATAGTAAACAACAAAAAAGCTACGGCATAAGTTAGAAAATGCAACTTTTTGGTTTTTTTAAAATATCTCAAAAACAAAAAAGATAGAATCGCGTACTAAACGGCTTTAAGTTGCAAATATATTCAAATAAAAATTTTCCTATTTACCAGTTTCTCTATATTCTAAAGTTTTCAAAATCCAATTTGGGACACACTGTATGCTTACTTTTAAAGATACATATCAACCGAGCAAATCGTAAAAATCTGTAAATACAAATTTATTAATTTTTAGCAATAAAATATCAAAATATGTTAATTCCCGCAAACAAGTCGACTGTATTTACACTGACTTCAATAAAGCGTTTGACAAGGTAAATCGCTAAACTGAAATAGTATGGTCTTAGTCTTAGTTATCACCTAATACATTTATTCATCTCTTATCTAATACTGAAGTCTCAATACGAAATTTTTGGTGGTGAAGAATCTCATGCAATTCTCGTATGCTCTGGGACCGGGATCCCTCAAGGTTTCAATTTAGGCCCTCTACTTTTGTCAATGATCTGCCTCTACATATTACATCAGACTGCCACAAATGATCATATAATCTAAAAGTCTTTAAGAAAATATCTAGATGACTATCTAGACCTTTAAAATTACCTGACAAAATGACGGATTGGTCATCAGAAAATAAATTATCTTTTAATATTTCAAAATGCAACGTAATTACATTCGGTAAAATTCTAAATTCTACCTTTAGGTGGAGTTGAAAATTTGGTAGAAGTTTTTGTATGACATAGAGAACAGACTCCTTCACAGGTGTAAGATCTTAAATTTCTGCAAGGACGGTTCCAGGAGGGTTTAACATATACGGGTCATATAATAACTATAGATCAGCACTTTCCTTAGTTTTGTCACTGGACATTGCTCTGGACTTTAGGGTCCAAGGTAAGATGGGATGATGAAACAAGAAACTGCAAAGTTGCCAGGGAGCTCTTATCTATCTATCTAACTGAATTAGGGCGTGGTTCAAAGCCCACTTGTACTGAAGCTCTAGGCAGGCAGCTCTTAAGGGAGCTCTTAAGTTATCCTGACAACACTGCAGCAAACAAATACTTGACTATGACTAGACAGAATCTGCGCCTAGTCACAGGCATTCTGGCTGGTCATTGCCAAGTACGAAAGCATCTCCATATCATGGGGCTGTCAGAATCCGCACTCTGCAAAGGGTGCGAACAAGAAGATGAGACCATCGAGCATATCCTTTACGATTGCTTGACGCTCTCTTTTATTAGAAGATTTGTGTTCGGCGAGTATCGGCTAACACCGGCCGATATAAGAGAAGCACCTCTTGGCGACGTTGTCAACTACATTAAATCTAGGCTGGCTCTCGAACTAGGAGGTGCCTATCTTCTCAGGAGCATGCACAATGGGCCTAATGAGGCCTAAGTGCCGTGGGGTAACCCACCCTCCACACATTACAGATACAGATGGGTATTTATTTATTGTGTCAAATAAAAATCAACGTACCCAATAGCAGGTATTCCCTATATTAGAAAAAAATTGTCTATTGTTTAATATACACTACGAAGACTAAAGGGGTTGAAATTTCAATAGTTTTGTTGCAGGAAAGAAAATTAGTTTTTGAAAAATTCTATTACACCAATCGCACAGAGACAAAACTTTGTTAGTGGGTATTAAAAGTTTAATACCGGTTATTAATTTTTTTTAATACTATATAATCAGTGTTGCTATCACAAGCAAACAAATAAAAAACTTTGCTTATCATTAGTAAATTAATTTGGTAACTGGTATTATACAGTTTATTAGGAGGAACTTAATACTTTAATAGTCATTATTAAACAGGATAATTATAGATATTGAACAGCTTAATAGAATTTAGTTCACAAGTATTAATAATTTAATAACCGTTATTAATGGCATTAATGATGGATAATTTGCAGGTTTATTAAACAACTTTAATTATGATTATTAAATAGTTTCATAGAGGTCGTTCAAAAATATCTCCTCCAATAATTTTTAATTGTCTTTATCTAACTATTTGAAATATAACCACATGCAAACATTAGGTTAGTACTCCACTTTTTTTTAGTTTTAGTTCAAGAAAAAATACCTACATAGATAAAGGTTATATTATCTGGACGACTGTGGTTCAATTTTCCATAAAATTTGGTATAGTTTTTATTGAAAGAAACTACAAAATTTCAATTTTTTTGGAAAAAAATTGAATCAAATTTTGGAAATCTAGTTCCAGAGAAACACATATTTAACACCTACAAATATAATAAACTTTATAAGTGGGGTACTAATAACAGTTTGCTTTGATATAATTCGTATTAGTTAGAAAAGACACAAACCAAAACAACGACCGGTAATCTCCAATTCTTTAGTAATTTCGAATAATCCGTTATTTTACAGTTCATCAAATTTCTAGAGGTGTTCGACGCCCAGGCAGAGAACGCGCTACGTGTGACTAAGATAGCTATTGTACAGTCTGCTAAACAAGTTATTTTAAATAGTTTTTAATATTTTTAGGTAATTAAATTTTAAAAGTGTGGAATAGTTTAGGGATTAAATTGGTCTGATTGGACTTTCTTAGAACGTTTTTAAAAGCAGCTAAAGATAGTATGTAGAATTGAAAATAATTATTATGCCATTAAAAGGTGTTTTGGAATTCCTTCAACCTTTTGAAATTGAGTCAGAAAATATAAATTTTATAGGATAGCGGAAAATACCTATAATTTTTTTGTAGGCCTTTGTAAATCGTGGAAATAGTTTATATTTTATTTCTACCTTATTAAGGAAAATGGTACCTATTATTAATAACGGTTGTTTCTGAAACATTACTAAAATTTTCGAAATTTTGTTTTTCTACAAAATAATAAACTATACTATTTAGAAAAAAAATTATTTCTCTTATAATTTTATAAAAAATAACAGGGGAATATTTACATTTCTTGATCTATTAAACAAAACGATAAATTATCTCGACGAATGACACCATGTTCTAGTACGGAAGCTAGCTTTACATTTTTGTTGGTGGTTTCATGGGTTTCATATCAATTTTTTGTAATTGTAGTTTACACGTACATATACCTCTTAACACTTGTTTGCTTTATTAAAAAAGTGTGTTGTTGTGATTTACGTCGAAATAAGTCAAAAACAACTTGAAACCCCATATAAAATCAAAAAGGAGAAACGGAAAAAAATTGAGCCTGTAAATGAACACAACTCAGAAACAAAAATAGCTATCTAATAATAAAAAAATAAAATTTGATTCTTGTGCAGCTTCATCTATATCATTAACTGTTTTTGGATTTTTAATGGTTTTTCTTGGTGATGAAAATTCCGATATCTCACGGTTATCGATTCTTTTTTTCTCTCCAGAAATGCGGACGACAGTGTTTTTAGATACTCCTGTGGCTGCAGTAACACGATCATTTACATTTTTAAATGGTATTGAAGGTGAATTAAAGTTTCCTTCTCTTCTCATAAACTCTATAACATTGGCTATTATTTCGCGAGATTGACTGTTAATCACGCGGCCTCTTAATTTGCTATTAAACTCCATACTTAGGTTCTATTAAACTGTAATGAGCAAAAAACACAAACGAAAATAAAAGAAATGTTTTAGCGAAATTTACATCTGACATTTACGTCTGAATGAAATAGTGAAATACTTGATGCGCAGAGTGTACTTTCATTGCGTAAATCCGTCGGGATGCCTGTCAGTAGTGCTTTCTCTGTCTAGCCATCGAAAGCCTCTAGAAATTTGATGAACTGTAGTTCATTAAAACCCACTGGAATACAATTTACTTGTACCACACTAGTACACTAAATTCCGTAGGGCTAGAGTAGTTTCTTTATTACATGCGAATGGTTATTGAGCTTGTAAATCTACATCACGCAGAGTATGGAGGGGATAACAATCATTAAAATTTACTTGTGGTCATCGAACATTTAATTATGGTTAGCAAACTGCTATTAAAGAGTTTAATAGGCACTATTAAATCAGTTCAATAGTAATAAGAAAGCTAGTGGGTATTAAAGTTTTTACTAATATGCTATTGGTTATTAAACAATTGACTAATTACAGCAGTTTCAAATTAATACATTTCCAGCAACATTCATTTAATTACTGGTATTAACCGAAAATGAAGTAATTTGTTTAGTGATAATCAAATGTTTTTCTATTAAACATGTTTAATAGACCTCGTTTTCTCGGTGCGATAGATAATAAAAGCAAATAACTTTTTCTCATACCATTTTGAATGCTTTATTTGAAATAAGGATTGTAGAGGAACTTGAAATTTTAATATTTTTGTTGCTGCTGTACTTACGCAAGTTGCGTAGATATTGCTAACAGAAAGCAAAATTGTTATTTCAAAAAAGTTATATTATTTAATAATATGTTTTTACATTTATGTAAATTGGAGAGCAAGGAGGAGAAGCCGTAAAAATATAGTCCATGATACCTGCTATTGTTAAAACCGGCCCTGCTTAGATTCTGCTTGTTAAGCCCTATCAAACAACTATTTTTAGTGTCCATAACAGGCACATAAAGCAAGATTTATTAGAACACAAAATCGTTAATTTATCCAATAAAGAATTGTTGTTATGCCAATCGATTGATTAAATCCATAATGAAAAATGTTTACATTATTTTAACCAATGACAATTATTATAGCTGGTGATAAACTTTTAAAAAATCGGAGATCAGTGCAGCGTATTATCTATTAATTCAAAAGATTTTGGGACTATCAGAATTTGTTGAAATTTAAGTAGGTACGTTATTTTTTAAATCCTTCAAGTTACTATATATTTTGGTTAGGTAGGTGGCGAATGTATCTGATATCGTCGTTATTTCATGATATATAGCGCCATTTTAAGTTTTTAAATTGTCACCCTGTATATGAAGGAAATTTTATTCACGAATAATTGGCGATATAATGAACAATCATCTTTTTTCGGCCCATCCAAGGTAATCATGACAAATTTTTTCATTAGTATCAAAACTGGCTTTTAAATTACCTTCATATCTACGAGTACAGTGACGATATTGTAACATCCTTCGTGTAAGGTGGAGAAGATCTTCTTCGGTATTCTGAACAACTTTAAACAGATATTCACACTTCATTATTCAATTTATAAAATAACCAATTATTATACGTTTGCATAATAATGATAATTATAACACATTATAATTATTGCATAACCCATTCCCCTTTTAGGCCTGATGAAACTAGTCATCATTTAAACTTATTTAAATAAAATTCTTTAGTAAATGATTTAGAGTTTTTTTCTTTGTATTATTTGGTGGTAACAGAAAAAGAAAATAGTTACTTAATTAGCTTGATACAAATTTAGAAAGTTTCACTCCTCAAAAATAAGCAAAGTTATTTACCCTGGACGTAAATTATTTTCAATAAAATTATATGTATTTTAAGAAATAAAGTGATAGATTGTAGAAAAAAATATTGTGTGTATTTCGAAAGGAAAAACTATTACCTTCTTTTTTCATGTTCATAATCTTCATAAGCCAAAGATTTATCATTAACCTTTTTACAAGAAAATCCAGTAAATCTCTCCGAAGAATTTGATCTTTGGCTTTGAAAATCTTCACTGCTAGATACCCTCCTTATGCCGCTTTGTTTCTCGACGTATTTCTTTTGGGCAGGTCTCTCTTCAGAATTCGATCTGATTACTTTTCTTTCCTGACAGAGAGAACTGATGCTTTCTTGCCGTTCTTTCCTCTTTCTCGCCTTACAACTAGCTTTCGCCTCATCATAAGTTGATGGTATTGATTGGGCTTTCGGTATGATGGTGCTTCCTCTTTTCTGCTTTCCTGATTTTCCTTCATGCAATTTCGTAGCGATTTCTTCTTTTCGGGCCGGACCTTTCATTCTTCGAACTGAAAAAAAAAAAAAATCAGTTATACTCAACATGACTACAATCTACAGCTTGAAATGCATAAAAATACCCGCTCTAGCCCATACAATTAAGTAGGTACACATTAGAACGACATAGATCGGTGGGCTACTATTCAAGAATCAAATTAACTGGTTAAGCGCCAAGCTGTTTTGAACAAAACTACCACCTGGGCCAACACACTTTTTTACCTGAATCTTGTTCTTTGGATAGATTTGAATATGTTGTGTTCATGCTGAAGCCTAATACTTTTTTTTCTAGAGGACATCGGTGTCCGACGTGGCCCTGCCAGATAGGCGGAGGACACTGGTGTCCGCCGTGGCCTGAAAAAGGTGCAATTTTAGATAGGTGTACCATTCCCTCCCACGACATAGCCCTTCCACTTTTACTGAACATACCAGAGCTTGCAAAAGCAAAGATCAGCAAATAATTATTTGTTATTGAGGTTCGCAGTCGCACGAGTGTGACATTAGACAGTGATTAAAAATGAGAAAACGTTCAAAACAAATTGTAAAATTAGCTTTGGAAAAACATTATGACGGTAGGTAATTATACTTTTGCTTAATAAATATAAAATTATCTGACTTATTAACAATTTTTTTACAGATAGTAGTTCTGACGAAGAACCATTTTTAGACGATTCTTACGATGACCCGGCGTATATACCATCGGGTATTAGTTCAGGAGCTGAAGAGAGTGACACAAGAAGTGATTCAAGTAAATCTACAAGAGAGATGTTGAAAAAATCGGCTGAAACTGCTAAATCTTTAGATAGTGGAAAAATCAGTGACTATGTTACTTTTATAAAAGACGATAAGGCCCCTGGTTGCTCAGGTGAAATTTCTCATGACCGTGTTAAGATGTCGAAACAAAAAGGGCAAAAAAGGCTGAATCAGAAAATAGTGACGATGAGGTTCAAGATAAAATCCAGGAAATAGAAGTTGATAATCAAGAGAATAACATCGGCTTAGGACTCCGTAATTTAGCCAACTCCAATTGGGGACCACCTGTTGGAAATCATTTACAATTTGAGGAAACTTTTGATGATGGAATAAAGCCGGAGTATCTAGCATCTTTGAAGAGTTGCAAACCACTAGAATACTATCTAGCTGTTGTTGATTTTTATATAATAGATCTAATAGTGGACCAAAGTAACCTGTATGCAACCGAAAAGAAATTTTGCATTTTATAGGTTTACTGAGATATATGGGCATTGTGCGAATGAATACCATTCGTGATTATTGGTCCACTAAATGGCTTTTCAAAAACGAAGTTGCTCATAACATTATGAGTAGAAATACATTCGAACTATTATTGAAAATGTTTAATTTTTCTGACAACAAGGCATGCCCAGAAGGAGATAGATTATATAAAGTGCAACCGCTTCTTGACAAACTAGCGAAAAACTGGCAATATATCTACACACCTGGAAAAACATTCTATGTAGATGAAACAGTAGTGCCCTTTCAAGGTAGGTTGCTGTTCAAACAATATAACCCCCAAAAAGGGCATAAATATGGAATTAAGAGTTACAAATTTTATTGTGAAAATGGATACACTTGGAATTGTAAGATATATTCTGGGAAAGAACGAGATGAAAATTCTGATAAAATACCCATTTCCACCAAACTTGTAATGAACCTAGTAGATGGACTGTTAGAGAGCGGTAGGATTTGTGTTACAGACAATTGGTACACAAGCATGCAGCTAGCATATACCCTCTTGGATCACAAAACCCACTCACTCGGAATATTACGAGGTAATCGGAAGGGGAACCCTCCAGAAGTAATTTCCAAAAAACCTAAAAAGGGTGAAATTATCGCTCAAGAAAATGTGAATAGGAATATGTATTGTTAAATGGCGCGACAAAAAGGATGTGTTAGTTTTGACCACTTGTCACACTGATGAAACAGTAGCAGTTCAACGCCGTGGTGGTGTAGTACACATACCTACAGCAATCGTACATTACAACAATGGTAAAAGTTCAATAGACGTGTCGGATCAGATGTCCAGCTATAGCACGGCGTTGAGAAGAAGTGTTCGGTGGTATAAAAAGGTAACTATAGAGGTACTTTTAGGAACCTCCATGGTCAATGCGCATTTTATTTACAAACAGGCAGAAGAGAGCAATATATCCATAACAGATTTTCGATATTCGGTTGTTGAAAATTTATTGCTATTCGACGATAATTCAGAAGATTTGCAGAACCCTACATCTACTCTAAGCTTGAGAGCTCATGTACTTCAGAAATTAGACTGCAAAGCTCGTGAAAATAGACGGTATTGCAAAGGTTGCTCCAAAAAAAGCAGGATGGTATTCTTGACAAAAACAAAGTAAGAAAAGTGACAACTTACTGTGTGCAATGTGTAGGCAATCCAAGATTTTGTCTTTCTTGTTTCAACGATTTCCACAAGAAATAATTAATATTTGATTTTATATTACTTTTATATTCGACAAATACATTTTTTTCCAAATGTATTTTTGATGGGTTGTTAGTAGCTGGGGGAAACGGAGAACTTTCAGTCCTTGGCCGTAGTGGATACACACGAAACGAGAGAGAAGAAACCCAGAACCAGGGATGTGTAAAGCAGGGCCACGGCGGTCTCAAAGCATTAAAAAATTCTATAAAAGTGCGTCCACTTGGCCGAGGCGCATGAATAAAAATTCGATAATCGGGCGGACACAGGTGACATCCATGGCCCATGTGGAAAAACTTGAAGCGGACACCGGTGTCTGCCATGGCGCTTAACCTGTTAAGGACCTTTGAATTCTTGGAAAAAATCTTACTTGAAGGTTTAGTTTGATTAGTACTCGTACTTTTCTATGCTTCGTCAAGTGTACAGTGTCAAGGCCGGCGCTAGGGACAGCCAAGCCGGACCCCTGGCCAGGGCAGCAACCTGAATAAAGTTATTAAATCAAGATTCACTTGACATGATAAATTAATAGATAAAATTTTACGAACTTTTAAGTAAAGGCTAAGGTGTGTAGTTTTTAAATAAAAACAAATTTTAAAAGAGGTGTAGAGTTTTGGTGTATTAAAGACCAAATCCAAAACTGAACCAAAAATACAGAGCAATATAGATGAAAAGATCCTTTAAATTACAATTTAAATAAACTGACACACATACAAAGTGCTGTAAAATAATTTTTACCTCTAAAAATCATATCTAAAGTTAAAAGTCTTGGGTTGAATTTAGTCAAAGAATACAGTACTCTAAATCGATTCCCAGTCACTCACACTCATAAAGACTCATTATCGCAGAGATAAATTATTGGTACCAAGTGCTTCTACGAATTGTTTCAACAATAAAAATGCTTGCTTAAAATTGTTTAACCCTCCGGGGTAAAAGTGACAAACTTACGATTTCGGTAATGGTAATTTTTTACAAATTATTTAATTACTTGCTTAGTTTGATCCCGTAATGGGAGAGCCTATCCGCAGAGTGCTCAAAAAAGAGGAAGTTAAAGTCCACTAGCTCGAAAAAGATATTCAATATGAAATAATAAATCTTTTAAGTGAAAATATAACATCTCACATTATTAGCGAGATAAAAAAAGCTAAATATTATGCAATAATCCTAAATTGTACTCCTGATGACAGAAAAGGTCGAGTAAATGACAGTCTAAGTAAGGTATTGTAGGCGATCTTTAAATTTAAGGAATACTCGCCTTGTACATGACGTTGATTGCCGATAGCAATAGGCGTTGTGTAATGTTCCAAGTATGTACTGATAAAACGGCTGAATCACCGAATTATTCTTTTTGGTGTTTTTGTTAGAAAAGGATTTGTGTTTAGTTAGTTGATTATAAATCGTTATTTCGATCAGACTTGCGTTTTATTTTAGTATATTTATTTCAGTGAAATATTTCTTTCAAATCATTACAGTCGATTACAGTATGTATCCATCGACAAATTTAATCTTCCATTAAAATTAATGAAAGCTTATCACAACTCTAATGCTTATTAAATGACTTTAAACATTGGTACTGAATTTGCATGATATTAGAGGACAGGCTTACGATAATGGGGGCCTAAATGGAGGCGCTATATCTATAATAAAAGCGTTAAATCCACGAGCATATTCTCCCAAGGGTGACCGGAAAAAAGCGCAAAGGAAATAAGCGCACAGGAAATATGCGCACAGAAAAAAGCGCACAGACATATAAGCGCACAGGAAATAACCGCACGAGGAAATATGCGCACACGGAAAAAACCGCACACGGAAAAAAGCTCACGGGTATAAAAGCGCACATGGAAGAAAGCGCACATTGAAAAAAGCGCAAAGTGCATGTAGTTTATATTTATATTTTGTTACAATTTTTTGTTGTTTGATTAAAACTTTAATTATCGTTGTTTATAGTAGTTACCATAATTTTTGCTGATAATTCAGGAATCTACTCAGTTATTTATTTGGAATTATTATAAGTACGATACAAAGAATAGATCTGTACCTTGGTTTGTTATATTCCAGGTGAAAAATATTAGACAAGTTTAAAAAAATTCTTAAAATACTTTCACAATAAAGTTATTACGGTTTATAGTATTTATATTCCCATTATGGATTGTTGAGGACAGACTAATTCCACCAAATCCGCTTTTAAAAAATTATAAGGATCAGTTTCGCCGCGAGGAAATTATGCTGTATATTTTACTTATCTCATACAGTGTGTATCTTAATTAAAACGAAATATTTGCAAGTGGTCATTTATTTTTACTAGAGATTATAAAATTAAGATAGGTACTTATTATTTCATTTATTAGTTGATTTTTTGTTAATAATTTTTAATTCAGGATAAATCCCATGCCGTCAATCTCTTTCTTTATAAGTTGCCACATTGCAGTTTCAAGTAACTTGTATACTTTCGTCTTTTAACAAGCAAAAGGCAACGGAAACAGACATTTCATTTGCATATGCATGGATGTTTAAACAGTTTGGCAGCTAATTTTTCCCATTTAAGTTGGCGAAATTTACGAAATTTTT